CACTTGCAGAGTGCATCCGTTTGGAGTCCAAAGCTCAACACTTCCTCTCAATTGTTTCGGTCCACCGAAAGTCTTTGTGTTAAAAATAAGTGTCGTGTGGGGACAAGGCGCCATGACTAATGCTGAGGAAACACAAGCTCCTCACCCTGCTCCGTGCTCCCTCGAGCTCAGGTCAGCTAACACTTGGACTCTTCCATCTGAGCATGAATCTAACCTCCACCCGGTCACGGAGCCAAAGGATTCTCAAACAATGAACAAGGATGAAGTAACTAATTGGCAGAGAATGTATGTGGAGGTATTTTAAGAATAAAGGCCGCTGAAGACGAGGCTGTGACAACGAGATGTGGCTGAAAAGAAGAGTTGCTACGGTGATGAATGCTCCCAGCAGGGCTCCAGTCCAATCCATATCAAGACAATCAACCAAAGAAACATAGAGCCAAGTGGTGCATGCAGAGCTGAAATGCTGATAAGAAGTAATGGTTATGGAGCTATTCAATATGTCACGATAGTAATAATACTAGGTTGTTGGCGAGTCAATATTTATGTCAAGTCCTCAAAGAGGATGTATCAAATTGAACTAAAATACTGAAAAATAATGATTTAAAGAGGATATATTACACATTACTTTTGGCCAGTGAAAATTATAATATTATAAATAAAATGGCTTGTGTTACATAGTGTGAAATAATATCTTCAGTACAAAATATATATTTAAACAAGTTTATCTATTGGCCTGTTGTATCTCCATGCAACCACCAGAGGGAGTTGAGGAAATTGTTGGGGTTTTATCCAAATATGAAGATTACCAGCTGCAAACACACCCATGCGATTGTAAAGAATGTCATTCCAACTAAAAAAAAATCTAAGTCTTGCACAAAAGAGACTTTATATTAACCTTTTTAACATGTTTGCACACAGTCCAGTCTTTTTGCACACCCTGAGTAACTCTATCAATGCCAAATGTGACATGTACATTTGTTTCTCCATTGTGAGATCAATAAAGTTTATTTTATCCTATCTTAAGTCTGGACTGACATGTTTATACCAGAAGTTCCTGATGGTAACATGGATTGGTCTAAAAACAACAGGTCTATTTTGATGAAGACCAATGTGGTAACATGGTTAAAATCTACAATAAAAGAGAGGATTTTGCATAGTATGTCTCCTTTAAGCCAAAACAGCTAAGTTTCATCTTCCACCGTGGATTTGACACTGAAGCCTGGAGGGAACATTCCACTGACAATTCACTTTAGCTCTCATTTGTGACTCTGCTGACCTCATGTGGTGGTAATTTCTGCCCTTCTGGCTCGACATGGCTCTCCCTGCTCCTTTACACCACACACCAGATACACTTGAAGCTTGAAAAATACATCAAATGAAATGAAAACAAAAAATGAAATCCACAAATACATTCAGATGCATTGTTTAATAGTTTTTTTGAGCAAACATTGTGCAAAATCCTTCACCATCTTTCCTCATGCTGTTGATTTGATGTAATGATAAAACCGTATGTGGACTGAATTCCTGGGTTTCCATTTCCTGCCTCTGATTGCAATACTGTTTGCATCTTCTGGGCAAATAATTTCTGTTGTTTCCAATAGAGACGCATTGTTCCACATCCGGCCGCATGACATTTCCTGCTCTTGCCTCTGCCTTGTTGGTGCCCTCTGCCCCTAATCACAGCTGTAAATGCCAGCGGTGAGGAGTCCTACTCGTTGTAACCCTGAAAAAGAAATGAAAAAATGCCTTTGTGCTGTGATCTATACGTCTTTTCACAGTTCTACCGTGTTTACACTTGTGTCTGTCAAGGATTTTGTTTGTGAAATTCTGCCTAACTACACATTTGTTTGGTCACATTTCAGCACAGAGGAAAAATCTCATTGTCACACCCAGAACAAAGAGAAAATGTTCTGTCTGCAACTTGTTGATTGAAGATTGTTGTGATGTTGTATTTGATGTTTTTTTTCCAATAATGATCCATATGTCAAAACACCATACAGCAAGTGGAGTAGGCATTCACAATGAGTTTCTTAAACATTTGATCTGTTTTTAGTGTTAGTTTGGTCAGCTTTGTTAGTCCTGACAGGGTGAGCATCAACATCTTAGAGAATTTACCACTAACTCTAAGATTCTGCTTAACTTTTATCGCTGCACCATTGAGAGTTTACTTGTTGGTTCTGTGTCTGTGTGGTTTGGAAACATCACAGATAAAGAAAAGAGAGCTTTAAACAAGGTGCTCCGCTCTGCAAAGAGGACCGTGGGCTGTGAGCTTCCTGTTCTGGAGGTTCTTTATAAATCCAGACTTTTAAACAAAGCCTTTAGGATTGTCAATGACTCTTCTGGTCACCCTGGGAAAGCCATGTTCCAGCTTCTTCCCTCTGGCAGAAGATATCGCTCTCTGAGATACAGGACATCTCGTTACGCTAACAGAGTTTTATCCACAAGCTGTTATTAGCTTGAACAGAGCACTTTAAATGATTTGCACTTGTTTTGAAACTGTTTTAGTCGATCGATTTCACAGTGACATTTGTTTACTGTTTTATTTGTTTTATTTCTGTCTTTTAATGTTGTTTTATGTCTGTATTTGTCTGTGCACACTGGAGACTTTTTGCTAATGTATTCCAATGTGGTTTTTTAACTGCAAATGGCAAATAAACTGAATCTGAATCTGAATCTGGATCTGGAGATTCCTCGCTGTTACTACGGCGACCACTGCTCTTGCCTTAGCAGCATCAGGAGGGGTCAAATGCACAGGATGGAGGTTGAAGGTTTTTCCATGCATGAGACTAGAAATGTGTGACAGCAATGCACCAACAGTCAACAGTCATGTTTTCGTCCCAAATGTAGGGAAAAGTGAACAAAAACTCTATATATATATTAATATAACTCTATATATTAAAATAAAATCTCTAGCTTTAGCATAATATGGTGACAAATCTAATATGTCTGTCTTATGTAATTTGTAAGTCTCTATCTTCAGATTTTTGTATAAAATAGTGCAAGAAATATGTAGTTACACTTTGAATCTGTTTCTAAATTCAAATTGACCAGCTGACCACTTACAAGTTAATTCAATCCGAAAAAACTATTTGTGCAACGGTTTCATGGCTCTAAAACAGTGTGGTACAGATTGTACTATTGTATTCTTTGGCCTTGATGAAACCTTTTAACCATTTTAACCCAACTGTAGGGTTAAAAGTGACCCAAACAGTTGGATTAAACCCATCAAAATAGCCCAATCTTTTTTTTTCCAACCAGACAAAGACAGCATGATGTGGTCTGATTTGTTCTCAACATTTGACTTTTACAATACTCTAAAATCTTAATTCAAAACAAACAAAGGTTAGGATTTAATAACATCATCATTGTTTGTCTGATTTCAAGCATGAGAATATTTGAAAATGTGTGATGTCAGAATAAAACACAGATGAACAAAAGACATGGGCTGTTTTCCCTCTTGAAGCAGTGCTGTATAATTGAGCACACATCAAACATACATGTGCACCAACATTATCTGAAGCAGCATCCTGTCTTAACGTGCCTGTGTGCTGCCTGTGTGCTGGCTGTGATCCGAGCAGCTGAAGCAGGAGCAGTGGCACTAATGAGCGGTGACATCCAGCCCACTTGGCCCAGAGCTGAAGAGGGCCGTGTCCTTTGAGCTCCACAAAGAGGAAATAGAGGCCTTTCTGCTTTACAAACACAGGTCGTGACTCAAGCCAAGAGATGCATCAGCTCACCATCTTCTCCCTCACCACTGCATGTTTCTACTATACATGCATTTGTTTAAAGCAGCCCAACTTGTATCTTTGCACAAATACATGTTTTCATATGGATTATCTCAAGGCTATTCCTCCTCATTAAGAACACAGATATGTATATATGTGTTGTATCAACGAAGACAACGATCCTGTAGTTGGAATTAATTGGCCTCATAATGTACCAGTGTTGAGTTCCAATAACTGTATTTAAAACGTGTAATGCACAGGGCTTTGTGTGTAAATAAAGCCATGGCATTGGCATACAACTCACTTGTTTTGCTCGTCCCCGTCGAATAAAAAGTGCAAAAAATATAGGTCAAAATCCTTTCAGCGCGATATTAGTTTGAAAAGTAACCATGGCGCCATCTAGTGGTAGTGAACACCACTCCTTCGTCAACTATCGTCAGAACAGCTTCAAAAATAAATTACCATATGTATGACACGTCGTATCACATTTCTGTGGGTGCACAACGCATCAACCTCATGTTTATCATGGTCTCACCAAAAACCAAGACTCTTGAAGTCAGAGCAATTCTGATGGGAATCACTAGGGGGCAGCGTTGATATGTTTTCTTTCCAGCAGGACTCTTCGGGTGTTCACTACATTATTGAGAAAATGTGTTTAAAAAACCAAATACATTAATGGCCAACTATGTGTTTTGTCTGTTTGTTGTTAAAATCCTTGGGCAAACTTAAACAACAGACACAATTTGTGTTTAGGATTATATATATATATATATATATATATATATATATATATATATATATATATATATATATATATATATATATATATATATATATATATATATATATATATATATATATATATATATATACCCCGTGGTCACAAATGCTGGGCACAATACACAATGTTCTGTTCAATAATGGCTAGAATAATGTACGTCGTGTTTGCATTCATTTGAACAGGCCATGGCAAAGGGGCCATGTTATTGTTGATCGTGGTTTTGATAAAGCGGTGGGACTGAGACAACCTGGACGTGGAGGTGGAAGGGGAGTGCGGCTCGTCGCCATTGGCTGAGCAGACACAGGAGCGCTCCTCTAGCGCTGCCATAAATGCGCTCCCAGCAGAGACCGAAGCACTTCCACAGGCCACAGCAGAGACACCCACCTTTGTCACTACGTCCAGCTTGGGGATGCGTCGTTACTGAGAGATTTAACACGTTTCTTTTCCTTTTTGATGAGCGCTGAGACCATTTTGCGAAAGACTGTTATTTCAGAATGACCGGCGTCTTTGAGAATTTAAACACAGATATGCATTCCAACCAGATTACCTCCAGCAGCTACCACGGTCTACACAAGTCTCAGGAGTCTCCCACCCTGCCGGTGTCCACGGCCACGGACAGTAGCTACTACAACAGCCAGCAGCCCTTCGCCCCGCTGGGGTACCAGTACCACGGCGGCTCCAGCGCAGTGCAGTACAACAAGTCCTACGAGCTCACGTTTAACTCGTCCTATGGCGCGTACAGCGCGTACGGCTCCAACTCGCCCCCTACTCCTGTAGACGCAGGTAAGACTGGAATGTTGTTTGGACATTATATTGTTCGGAATATTGATTCTGTTCGCGGAGGCCAAAATATAATTTAATCCCAATAAGCTCTGTCGTGATGAGCAATTGTACTGTTACTGAATTTCAATATGGGTATGTCATTTTGTGTGCCTCATTTTATATACAGAACATTTAAATATACATATTATTTCTAATCTTTAATTGACCTGTTTCTTCTGTTTCTTCTTTAGAAAAGGAAGAGAGTGAGCCGGAAATTCGAATGGTGAATGGAAAGCCAAAGAAGGTCAGAAAACCTCGAACCATTTACTCCAGTTTCCAGCTGGCTGCCCTTCAGCGTAGATTCCAGAAAACACAGTATTTGGCGTTACCGGAGCGGGCCGAGCTGGCCGCGTCTCTGGGCCTGACCCAGACACAGGTGGGTGCTATACACGGATCATGCTTTCAATCAAGCCAACGCACAGTTCAGCATTTTAATCTCTTTATTTTTTGTGATGTAGGTCAAAATATGGTTTCAAAACCGTCGTTCCAAGTTCAAGAAGTTGTGGAAAAGTGGAGAAATTCCTCCTGAGCAACATGTCGCTTCAAGTGAGTCTCCCCCCTGCGCCTCTCCCCCAACCTCCGCCTGGGACTTTCCACAGACCCCGAGAATGAACAGTGTCACCCCGAGTTTACCTCCGAGCAGCAGCCCGCCCAACACCGCTGCGCCCCCGGCCTTTTTGGCGAACTACTCCTGGTACTCGCCAACGAACTCTGCGACCCACCTGCAGCACCACCACAACATCAGTGCGGGGACGATATTTTGAAGAAACAAGGACAAACTATAGAACTAAAAAGCAAACTAAAGCATACCAATACCCTCATCCAGACCTCGTGTGTGGGCTGTGCGTCTGCAGCACAGGACGCAGACAGGACCAGGAAAGTATACGGACATTAGATACAGATGATTACACTTATTTTTGTATTTATTTATTTTTGTCTATGTGGAGGGATGGATCAACCACTATATCCAAAGCAATCCCAGCCTGGACACAGCTTGTTTTTACACGGACGTCACTTTTTTGCCATCTCTGCGTATCAATGACCTGCAGGACAACCTCACAATGTAGCACAAGTTAGGCCTAAGTGTATCGTGCCTTTCAGAATGACCTCATAAAAAAGGTTACTTTTAATCATTCCTTTCTTTTCGAACATTTAAAGCATCACGTTTGTAAATATCATGTTTCTTGCCTTTGTTCATCACCCGTGCCGCCCGGACTCTTTTCATGCTCTTGGTGCAAAGCCATTATCCAAATTAAGCTACTGATTGTTTGACCCTCTGAATTTCTTGTATCACCTATATTTGTATTTTGTCTTATTTATTTTAGCGATGTTTCATATACGAGCAAACGTTATTTAAATAAATATGTTTTCTGTGCAGTTATCTGTTATGTGTAATTGTTTTTACAATAATGTTTCAATAGATTGGTATCAACACATACAGTGCATTAAAGCTTTAAATAGGCCTATTATTGTCATAGTTGTTGGACAGGCCATGAGCAGCAGCTTGCCGTTTCATGCAACATATAGACTTTTCCCAGATATTAGATTTTTATTTTAAATGGGTAATAGAACGTATTTCTAATCGTCCTTAAGTCCATGGACAACATATCTTTGGCTAAAAAGACATTCTGGCTCACTGGACTATATTCCAAAAGATTATTCTAATAAACCATACGCAATGAAAACAGTAATTTTATTGTTCACAAAAACAATACCAATATAGAATAAAAATGGCGGCGTCTCCATCCTTGATGCAAATGATGTTGTTCCTAAGCAACCGGGCCTGAAAACATAGCCACAGGTTATATGACTGCGCTCTGCTGTGATTTTACGTGCCTTTAATGGTTTATTACACATTAAGACTGAATAACAAGCGTGGACATGCACAACGGCTTCATAAAGGTGTTATTGGCGGCTCCATCACTCGGGCTGGCAGGCACCAGGCAGGGCCCGGGGCAAGCTCTGGGGGAGGCGCACTACAACACGCCCTGGCATGCGATCCAAGAGAGGGAAGAGCTCTGAACAACACCGCTCACAGACTCGCTGGAGACACGGCGCTGATTCCAGACGTTTTATGAAGTCAGTCTAGAGCAAAAGACACGTCGTCCTGTGGGTCCAGGACTGCAGCCCGCCGCAGGCTGCAGTCACATGGAAACTCTGTGCGACGACGCGTTTGACCTACATTGTTTAATGGTTCAGGAAACAGGCACCAGGCCAAAGTGCGCATGTCCCAGCACGTGTATACAGTGTTCTGCCATTAAGCGCTACAAGTTAGGCAGATACGCATCAACGCCGTCTCCATCACGTCCATAAAGCAAGTCTGTAATGTGCTGCCATATATATATATCCAACAAGATGCGTTTGAATAAACTAGACCTTTTGCGGTATGCGACATACCCTGCAGATGAATGTGCAATATGATCATTTATATAGTTTTGTGATGAACATAGTGAAAGTTGGTTGCTATTTTCCTAATGATAAACTTGCAAATGTCAGCCAGGATATCCTAATTTAATCTCATCTGTAATTTCATCCACATTTGCACTGACTTTTCAATTGTGAAAGCCTGCAATTACCGTATTCTTTGCAATTTTAGATGTCCTAATATGGGGTGTAATTTTTTACACAAGACAATTTCCCGCCATTTCAGGCATCAACATTGTCAACGTTGCATGTACATAATAAATGGGAATATCAATGCATAGTTTTTAGCCTCCCATCTTGACTATAAACGATAATTATATCCGTGTGGAGCCTACGCAGAATTAGCCTGAATTGCACGGTAACTGCTGCTTTAAATTTAAAAAATAAATTACTCATAATTTCCCCCAAAGATTACCAAGATCTCGAGTGCACAATGTCATCAGCGTAATGAGGAGTAAACATTTATGCTAATAATCTACCATCAGCTATAAAGAGGCGAAATAAAGCGCACATTTCAGTCATATTCTGAAGCGTGCTGGTAAAGCAGAGCACCACATTTCATGGCATTGGAACAGGATACAGGATGCTGCTGCGCGTCTGCCGCCATGCCCATTGAAACCATCAAAGCCTCAAGGTGTGTATCATTTATTTATCCCCCCAAATGCTCTTTAGAACGCAAGACAGAGACTAAAAGTATCAAGGAAAGATATATTCATTTCGACATCTACTTTCACTTAAATCCATATAGCCCATTGTGCTCTTTGTGATTCCTTCAACGAAATATGTGATGCGTTAGAACATTTCAAAGGATTGTTCTCTTTGAAAGTCTATCTGAGGTTTTAGATATAGGCCTAGATTCTTATTGGATGGGAATAAAATCCTCGCATGTGCAGAAAAAGGAAAAGGCACAGATAGAGAAGTTAGTCCTTGTTTAATTTCGGCGTTGCTCTCATTAAAGCCATTGTGTTTGGCTCATTTTGAAACCTCTTCACATTGACAACTCCGTGATGTACACCTGCGAGCAATTTGCCAGCCTTATACATAGGCTGAGTCTACGGGAACAGCGACGAGAAAGCAGCTCACCTATTCCACGTTTTGGTTTTTTTTTCCCTTTTACAGCACTGACTTTCTTTCAAAGCACTATCCTCTTTTGTCAATGCTGAAAGATCCTGCGTGTGAAAAAAAATCTCATAATTACCTCAGAGATAGGAAACTGCATTAGAATAAATAAGGGCGAAATGACTGTAATTATGTTGGGTTTGATGGGCTGAGCTCGTATAATCAAGAGGAGAATACAGCGAAATAACACTGACCCTCTTGGGTGTGCAGCTGCGCCATTCTGGGCAGAGTGCGCACCAGTTCTATTCTCCACAGCCGCAGCACAATTCCTATTATTTTAATGCACCCAAATATATACATAAGCCTGTCTGACAAAGAGGTTATGCGTATAGGATATTGTAGCGTGGATGACGACTGCATACGGTTGCCATCACTGCAATGATTACATCTACATCACACAAAGCCAAACTACAGACCTAGGCGTTTTTTACATTTTAGTAAATGTAAAGTAGTATTAATAGTATTAATAAAGGCTTTTTTAACATTTTCTATACCCACTGAGTGCTTCAGTTTTCTCCTCCTTATAAAATAGCCTATATTTTAAAAAGACCTAACTTGTCATAAATATATATAGATTTAGATTTATGATATTTAGGACTGACTTTTATATTTCAGTAAACAAAGGCCTCAATTCAATACACACTTTCCCCTTTTTGTGAGATATGTATGGCTTCGCAACTCAAAATCTGATAATAATAATTAATAATAATACTAGTACTGTTATTGCTATGCTACTATTGTAACTCAAAATCTGATAATAATAATTAATAATAATACTAGTACTGTTATTGCTATGCTACTATTGTAATAGTAGTATAGTAATAATATTAATAATAACAACAACAATGATAATAATTGTACAAAATAATATGATAAGTTTTAATTGCTGTTGTCATGTGCTAACTTTAGTGTGGTATATTTCATTTGAGCTTTGACTGCTGTCCAACTTTGGATCATGCACCTGTATTATTCACTTAACACACACCCACACACACATCGCCATCGTTCATTGCTAAAAGTGCGAGTGATGAGACACAAATACGCTGTATAGAAAGTGAACTGTGCTGCGTCCTGATTTAATCCAGGTCTCCCACAACGCATAGAATAAATCAATATTATTCGTCGGTCTCGCGGTGTTACGCATGGGCACGTTATTTATGTGTTAAAAGAGTGAAAAAATGTCATTTAAAATAGAGTTGAACGGAATGCTATTAATCCTGCAGACTGAGTGGATAGAGGCATAACATGTGCAGCAGCCGCACGTGCTCATAAATCACATGTGTCAGATATTAGAGACTTCAGTCAAACTTTTATGACGGAATTTAAATCAGACTTTACTGTTTCTGAACATGTGAACAATATATACATAAACATAAATAAATTAAAGGTGATCGATACAAAACTAAATATTTTCTAAATTGACTAAACACATCTCGACAAATACAGAAAGCCAAAAAACCAAAATTCACAGCGTATACAGCACAAAATAAATGTAAAATATGTACACAATACAGTGACAGAAGAACGCTCATCACATCCACGTGTTTCTGAAGGCAGCACTCCGACAGGCCCTCAGCATGTCGCAGAACACCGATCCGGGCCCCGCATAAAGCTTTACTTTAGTGCAGCTATTACAGTGTTGTCTCTGGAACACGGACCGAACCCCAAACCAACCCAACTCACTGAAATAATTTAACTTAAATAACAAACACCAAGTAACAACATACAGCACCTTGAGGCTTAGCTGAAACTGGTGCAATGGTCCAACATTTATCAAAGGAACACCTTTGGTCTATAGCTGCCCAAAGTGCAGCTCAATAGAAAATCTCTCACGTGTGATAAAAATAAATCTAAACTGACACAATGATAAACAGCAGCCAAAAAGATTCGCTCGCACCACCTCTGCGCATCGTCAGGGCCCTTTGGCCCCCGCAGGAGCTCCGCCTAAAGCCTAGAGCCAGAGCCGGGTCCTGGTCCTGTGCAGGCGTAGGTTCTATGTGCTTGGCACACGAGCGTGCGTCGAGTCTCGGTGCACGCATGGCTCAGTCCGAGTCCAGGCCGCCTTGCTCACATGAGCTGCGACTGTTGCATAGACTCTTGGTGTGTGCTCGGGTACCACGAGGTGTAGCTGGGGATGTAGGAGCCGGTGGAGCCCGCTGTTGTCTTCACTGATGTCGGAGAGCTCCAGACTGGAGCCACGGACGGGGAGCCCGTGGACAGCCCACGGCCGCTGGACAAAGCGCTTGTGTCGATGGTGCCTCCCCCCTGCTTCATCAGCTTTTTAAACTTAGACCGTTTATTCTGGAACCATATTTTCACCTGCGCGTAAAAGGAAAAGTCAAATTAGCAAATGCATTACGGGGATAGAAGAAATTTTTTAGAGGACAGCAGATGCCAAATTCATATGTTAATTTCAAACAGTGCTGTTATGGATCAGTGGCCATTATGTGCTGTCGTACACACAACACATCTGATTGTAAATGAAAGAGAACACGTTACATTATAATAAACGCATATATTAACATGTTACACTCGCAAAAACATTCTCACTGCAAAATAAGATCAGGTGGTATTAGGCCATCACTGGCGAAGCCTCAGCTGGAGCTAATGTGATGGCATGTGCATCGAGGACTTGCCTGTGTTTGCGTGAGCCCTAGAGACGCCGCCAGCTCCGCTCTCTCTGGTAACGCCAGGTACTGGGTCTGCTGAAACCGTCTGTTCAGCGCCTGCAGTTGTAAACTCGAATAGATTGTCCTTGGTTTCCTGATTTTTTTCCCTTTTCCGTTGAAGCGCACTTCCCCGCCTTCCACCACAGTGTTTTTCTCGGCTTCTGGCACTGAGAGAATAAAGTCAAAGTCAAAGAAAGTCACAAAGAGTCACTTCAATGTGAGAGCAGCGCTGGAATGAAGAGCTTTGCCTAAGTTTTACAGGCTGTACATTAGGTATAATTGCCCTTAATTGCATACATTGTTTATAGCGTTACGCAATAAATAATTACTAAGCCCAACATCTGGCTCGTGGTTTCCGAGCAGCAGTTAGGACCAGCACTGAAGATGGCGCTTACCTGCGTCTTCCAAGCGCGTCTGTGAGAGCGCAGAGCTGTTTTGGTAGGTCTGCACGGAGCCCAGGTACGGGCTGCTGGGGTGACTGGCGTAGGGATAGCCCAGAGTCCGAGGGAAGGACGAGGCAGGGCTGTAGCTGTCGTGCTGCGTGTGGCCTGCAGAATGTAAACAATGCATGGGGTAGTGTCCATGAGACATAGAGGACGGAGACATTTGTTGACTCGGTGGCCCAAACTCCATGAAAACGGCTTTTCCTGAGGCAGGGCTATTAAGACTTTCAGGAATTGTAGTCATTGTCATCTCTTCTGGCGGTTCCCCTCGTCTCGCTTTTGTTGTTTTGCTTCTATGATCTCAGTGAAGGACGGATCCCAATTTAAGGCGAACAGATTTTTTCTCGTTCCATTCATAAGAAAATGTAGTTTGTGCCCGTGAAAAGTCCTAGGTATGATGCTGTGGACCTAGACAAAGTCGCTCAAAGGTTTGAATCTCGGACTCATGAATATTCATCAAAGACGCTCGCTGATTGGTCCACTCTCTCCAAGAGGGAAGCGGATTGGCGACGCTGGGGCTGGGTCCGAAGGAGCTGAGAAAGTCAAGGAAAAAAATCTCACAGATAAACTGCGTGTGACATGGCCACGTATTTATTCTTATGATTATTATTACAATTTTAATAATTATTATTACCGTATTGTAATTATTATTTGAAGATAATTGTGTTGTTTTCAATAAACGTGTACGTTTATTTCTATACATTTAGTCTTCTTAAACCTCCTTTCCTGATTAAATAGTTCTGGATTAAATGTCTTGACGAAGATATAGCATCATCGTAATTATAAGCTATATTGTTTTTCATGGCCTGTAGTCTTACCCTAATAAGCCCAAAGTCGGAGCAATAAAATAATAATGTGCTGTGTGTAATTAATGCAACATTAGTTCGAATATGACGATGGAAACCGTACAACGTTGCGGACATAAATTAAATGACCACTAACATTAGACCGTTATAGGCCTGAACAGTCAAGCTCGCTCCAAACGAATGTATAAGGGTCATAGCAAGAACATGCGTGTCCATTTAAAAACACACACACAAACAAGCAAACAGTAGAGACTGAAATGGCACGTAATGCCAGAAAACGGGAACAATCAAATCTCCATATAAAATCTGTAATTCGTTTAATTGAACAACGTACATGCAGAGACAGACGCCTGATGCGCACTTACAAAGCAGGCGTCATGTGATGGAAAAGATGCAGACCAGTGTTCGCCTTCCGGGGTCACCGAGGCTCAGCATGATGCGCCTGGAGCAACGCGCTCTGCCGCCGCGACAGCTCTGTGTCCCGGGCTCCATCCTCTGTGTCCCGGGCTCCATCCTCAGACCAGCGCGTCCTTTTGCAGCAAGAGCACAGAGAGCCAGAGGCACGCTCTACCCAGCTTCCTATCTCCACCTGAATACCAAATTAAAGCAGTTAAATTCCCTCACTGTCATTATCAGCCTAATTACATAATTGAACTCAAAACACAACTAGCAAGTTGCAAAACGCGTTATCAAAATGCAGCCGCTGACATCACGACGCGTGCCAGAGTGTGCCAGACGCAGCTTATGCCTGCAGGATTCAAAGATTTCCGTGAAATATTAGGCTATAAAGCAAGCTGGTCCCCTTGTCCCCCTGAAATAGGCCAATTTGAAGTGATTTCTCTGGAATTACTTTGGGGAAAATGCTTCAAGATTTCCTCTATCAACAATACGACAATGATAATGGTAGTACAACCAATAATTATCATCTTCCAGAACAGAGGACAGATTTTTATGGGTACTTGGTGGGTGCGACTGATAACTGTCATTATTTTCCACGATTATAGGATCTGCAAACTGAAACGCGTCTGCGAACAAACGATTAGGACACATCAGCAGAAAATGCGTACTGTAATGTAAAATAAAGCCGCTACTATCAAATTGAGAACAATTATGTTTATTAAGATAACTGCGGTGTTGAATTATGTTTGACTATGACACTTGAGATAACATTATACGCACAATTCCCAAAGTCATTAAGAGGGACCAGGCGCGTGACCACTTGTTTGTCACGTGACCAACGCCACAGAGTGATTCCAACTCCACCGGGTACTAAAAATAAAAGTCTGCGCACGGGCACGCGCACGGACACGCACACATGAAGCTGCGACAGCGCTCATTAGAGCAGCTCTGTGGCTGAGGGTGTTTTAACACCTGCTGCACTTCACCTGAGGACTGCTGCAGCCGAGGGGCATGGGGCAGAGGGGCAGAGGGGCAGAGGGGCAGATTTCCGGGCACTGGAGGAGCAGGATGAGAGGCCGCGGAAAACCTCAACGAATCACAAATTACGTCAAACATTATGTCAATAATGCACGCGAATATTTTATGAATTAGTATCCTATCCCTCTAATGTCACTCTGTCCATATGCATTCGGGCTATGACGAATTACACATCTTCTTACACAAAGGGGCCACTGTCGTTAAATAATTATGGAATATAGACCAAAACCAAAGTGCCACTGTCTTTTTGTTTCCACCGTAAAGAAATCCAGAGCACTGATAATAAAGAGTCATCATAAATGAACACACACGCCCTCAGATTACTAAACTTATAGGGTTCCATAGGCATAAGTGTCAAACTTCAGCCAAACATATATATGTTATTGTGTCGTGTTCACTAATGACCAAAGAAATGATAAAATAAGAAAAACGTACCCTGGTCTATTTCTGAAATATTTAATCATTTCTGTCTGTATCCTCCTGCATGACGCACGCTGACGCGTTTACCACCTCCGACATAAAGGCCTTTTTTCTTTATCTTGTTTACCTTTGTCTATTGTAACTTTATTTTCCACCCAATCTCATCGCCATAACACCAACAAGATTAAGTCATCACAAGCAGCTCAAAATAACATTAAAATTGCCTTTTTTTGTTTCTTAGTTGTTCGGTGCATCCTGTAATTTGTAGCGTCACGGAGCGCAAAGTAGATGCACCACAATTAGAGCCTATTTCCATGTGCAATGTGGCATCAAAACGCGGATTGATTTTGTTTAGTAAGGTGCCAGGAGACGTTGGATCATTGTCCTATTGGATATTGAACTGTATTATCATTTTTTGGGTCGTTTTTCGTTTTAACTTTAAACTCGCATTGTTTTCTTTCAGAGTCCGAATTAAGATGGTGCATTCAATCAAGACGACGTCAATTGGACATCGTAATATTGTCTTTGCCAGTATTTATGTGTATAACCTAATAAAATAAAAGTGAAATGACATTTTACATGGATGATTCTTGTCTAAACCCGTAAGCACTCCTTGGCCTTTTAGAGCAGTCTTCGTGCGCCTGAACAGGAGTAAACCATGATTAACAACGGTGTAATAAGCCTGGACATAGGTCATTTCAAAGCCGAGAAGTTATTTTCCAACTCCTTTTACCTGTGGGATGTTCAGAGGCGCTCTCTTCTCAGAAAGCGCAGTGGGGTCGCTCGGTGGAAAAGCCCCTGCACACTGGCGCCCATTACTGCAGCAGCAGGGGTCACGGCACAGCGGCCAGCATCTAACCTGCCTGAAATTGGCTGCAAAATGACCAATTACCTGAGTGAAGGCTGGGCAGAAAGGACTTTGAAAAATATGCCTTTTACTTAATTCAACTAAACTGTAAAAGAAACTAGTGTCAGTGCAATACATGCTGAAGTATCCACCTGTTAAGAAAAATGTGGTCAGTCATATACGGACAGTGCATTGGCTCTGCGCGTGTTTGATCCTAATAAAACAATGATTGATTACACATCTTTATATGTGTTGCATTAATCTGTCTGTAAATGGAAAATGCAAATGCGCCAATTAAGTCATTTGCCTACGAGAGGCGGCCTGCTTGACGTTCAGCTGCCACTGCGCCTTTAGTCTGAAACCCCCTTTTTAGTTTTTGTTAAGAGTTAAATCTCGCACAAAGACAGGAAGGAGGTCAGCACTCAGCCAACACCTGAATGCGCACTCCTTTTTGTGCTCCCCTTGATCCCCACAGCCTGCGCCTGTCATTAGTCTTAATGATGGAAAATTGTCATGTTGATACAAGTCTTGCACTCCCCCTCTCGTCTTTGTATAAGTAGAAGGTGGAAGCTCCATTTGTAACAAAGTTCTTTGTGACTAAAAGCCGTGGACATTGCATTTGTGCCGAGGGAGAAAAGAGGCTGTAGATGCTCTTTCCATAGCTGGGATAATTATTCCTACTGTGGCCTTAATGATTCGCTGTGTTCGTCCTGAATCTCATCCACGCGCCAGGCCCTCAGCACAGCCCCGTGTCAGGGAATATGAAAAACCCATATAATGAAACCATTTTGGCTGATGGAAAAAGGGACTACTGAAGCCGCACTTGCTACAAAGACTGCTCAATTATATGAGTAATTGTGATAATTTTCTCTCCATTCAAGGCTTTCTCTGCAAGGTAAAAAACACAGATGCTGAAAAGGAAATTACTTGGACAATATATAATCTGCCAAATGGTCACAACAGAAAAAAAGATGACTGTAAGAAAGTGTAGGACTATAAATAGCAATGTTAATGCAGGGCACGTAAATACAACGTCAGGAGTGGGCACACATAAACAAACAGCTCTACTTTGTGGGTCTGTGTGAATGGGGAAAAAAACATAACAAACGACCAATGCAAAAAACATGATAAAAGTAGGTCTGCAGCTGCTAGAAAATTAAGGCTCCTTCTCCTCCCTATTAACGAATGTGCTCCCTGAAAACGCACCCCCATCATTGGCTATCATTTGTTGTTCTGTGACAGGAAAAGGATAATTACCTCTCTCAGAAGCAGCAGGACTGACATGGCCTTTAGACTTTGCCATGAATGCAGAAAGCTTGATAGAAAGCTCGTGGAATAATTTTCTCCTCGGCTCTCCCCTTTATGTTGTAAAGCGTGTTTTGTTCCCGCAGGACTCGGAGATGGCAGTATTGTAGAGTGCATTAAACCACGGGTCTTCAAACGGTAAATATGACATCCCGGGGTCTATCAGCTTCTCCTGGGCGAAGGGAAATGCATTAAAATTTAAATTTCATCTTCAGACAGGCACACGAGATAGAGATATGCATTACATGTCCCTGTTCCAATGCGTTCTGGATTAAACATGTGGGTGCACACTCTCTGGCTCTATCTGTCTGTCAAATAAAAGGCATTCTGTGGAGCGAGAGAAGAGTTGTGCTTTTAACATACGGCAGAGCAATGTAATTAGCTACCATTGTCTTATGGAGAGAATCAGACTCTTTGTGTTTGGGTTAGACAAAAGCAGGCTCAAAGACGTGATCATAAATCCAATATCTGAATGTAGTATACTGGCTTTGAAGACGCTGAGTACAACTCTGAAAGTGGTTTATAAAAAGTAAATATTATAATGTTATAGTTTGTAACAAAATATGATTCCATGATCCCTAAATATGAATCAAATGTTGAGGTGGAGAACAAACATGGACAATATTATTTTACAGTATTACGGCCGTGTTTTAGGGAAATGAGCCAAAACTTGCAATTCTTTTTTTGAGGCGTTGACTGCAATATATTTCAAAGTAAGATGCAGAAGACAGTGTGCTTTTGTCTCACATCATGTAAAACTAACATAGTGCTGTTAAACAAATATTAATATTTCAAACTTGATGATGATAATACTTGTGTTTATTCTACTCACATCTGTGTCAAATCTGGTTAAAAAGACAAAACATTCAATATTGAACTTAACGCACAACAAAAATAGTTTGTTGGCAAAACTATTGGGCACTGAGTGATGCGGAGCCTCCAGAGACGCTGTATTAATCTAATATGGGTGATAGTGATCTTTTCAACTAAAATTGCTCCTATTTTGGGACAACCCTCTCATTTGACCTTTGGCTTCCGTGTGCCCTGCAATCTGGTACAAATGCCCTCTCTTCGGCCACACCAACATTACAGCATGCAGCTCAAACACTTGTATCAGTCTCAAAATGAGAAGCCTTGGCTGAGTGTGGGGAGGCCACAGACCCCCCTGGACTCCTCTGGACCTCCCTGGACCCCTGGGGCCCATGGGCACCACCTGATTGTTCCCTGAAGCAGCTCAGTGCCACAGAACTATCCCCATACAGTCTTTGTGTGACAAACGCTCAGCTTCAAACCGGCAATCTCAATTCAGAGCACCCCACTGTGCACTTCCTGACAGCATCCAGAAATGTTTTCAAGTTGTCAAGTTCCTACAGTAATAGCCTCTGAACACAATACAACAAAACAATAATCATATGATCAGAAATTTGGGATTTAGAGGATGGCTGTGAGCAACCTTTTCCATTTTCACCATTTGTTGTTTTACGTTTAAAGACATTCATACCCG